GGAAAAGTACATTTATAAATATACACTCATCCATTCTCCAATTGAGATAAGACAACAAATTTGTCTTCTGAACTGCTTCTGTGTGGACCTCCAATTAATAGAAGACAACAGATAGCATAAACCAAGTGTGACTAACCCGTATCAAGAGGAGAACAGGTAACCTTTGCTGCTTTCAAAATCCACCTCTAACTGAAGTTGATTCATTACTATCAATATTCTGAAGGGTAACCACTCTGTAACATGCACTTCCTACTTTTCTTTCTCACAGTTGTTTCTTCTCTTCTCAAACTCTCTTTCCTTCAACCCTCTTCTCCAGCCTATAACATATATATATATATATATATATATATATATATATATCACCTTCACTCCTGTCTTCTCCTTATTACTGCCATCATCAACTCTTGCTAATTCTGGACCCACTGTCAGGGATCGTGGCTCCTCTCCCGGCGCACGCGCACTGGCGGCAGATCACGCCGGGACACAGGCACTAGGTCCCGGCGGGCCGCTGCTGACAGGACGCCGCGCATGCGCAGTAGGAGCCGCGGGCGTGCCTCGGGCGTCCAATGACAGCCCGGGGGCGCGTCCTGGCCGGCCAATGACAGTGCAGGGCGCACTATTTAAAGATGCCCTGCACTGTCACAGATTGCCGCAAGGTCTATCTGTGATCCTGAGTTGCTGTACCTGTTTAGTGACCCTGATTGCCCTGACTACGCTGCCTTCTCCTGTGATTTGACCCAGATTGCCCTGACTACGCTGCCTTCTCCTGTGCCTTGACCCGGATTGCCCTGACTACTCTGCCTTCTCCTATCCTGACCCCCAGCTTGTCTGACCATTCAGCAGACTGACTTATCCTGCTGACCCTGCGTGTGACCTGACTACTCTTTGCCTGCCGATTCGGTACCTCGCTTACCCCACGGGACCCACGGCTCGTGACCATCCTGCTAGGTCCCGCCGTCCTCTTCACATCTGGCTCTCCCGGTACCTGCATACATCCCCGGAGGCTCCCTCTGCCACTGGTGGGCCTGCTCGGAGGTCGTGACCTGGCCCTGGTCTGTTACAAGTCCATCCCCACCATCAGGGGCCCTGGTGAAAGCACCGACCGGGCTTAGACTCCACGCTCTGGGTAGGTCTGTCCAGTGGGCAGCCTGAGGCACCACCTGGCGGATCCTAACACCCACATACTAATAAAACCTCCAGGACTCTGGCACATGTCCCTCTATATTAGTCACATTCTCACACTCCCATGTTAGCTCTTTCACCCTTCTGCCTTTCCTAGCTTCTGGAGATATTTCCCCAAATCCCAAAACCATTATTTAAATTTGACCAACGCACCCATCACCCCCCATACTGTAACAACAGTCACAATCCACACAATCTGGTTTCTAGCCCTCTTCTTCCTAGAACCAGCCTCCCTTTTTCCTGTGCCTTTTGGAATGCCCTCTCTGTCTGTAACAAACTCACCTCTGTCCATGACCTTTTTATCACAAACTCCTTTAACCTCTCTGCAATTACTGAAACCTGGCTTCAAGAATCTAAATTTTCCCCCTCCTACTGTCCTCTCCCATCATGGCCTCCTCTGGACTCACTCTCCCAGGCCTAATGGATGTAAGGGAGGTGGAGTTGGAATCCTCCTATCCCCTCAAAGCACTTTCTAGGTCCTTCATTCACTTCCCTCTGTGCCCCTCTCCTCATTTGAAGCTAACTGCATTAGTCTATTCTCTCCAGATTTTTTTGAGAATTGATGTGATCTATTGGTCTGCTGGACTGGTATCAATCTTCCTTGATGACTTCTGCCTGGCCACTCTAATTTCTCTCTTCTGAAATACCCACAATCATTCTCAGTGACTTCAACATCTCTGTTAATATTAACACTTCTACTACTTCTAAACTTCTCAGCCTGCCTTCACCTTTTGACCTAGGCAACTGCCTTGACCTTGCATTCTTCTACCTCTGCACTCTTTGCAACCTCTCCAACAATAATTTTCCTGTTTGATCACTATCTTATTAGCTTCACTCTCTCCTTGTCTTCTTCCTCCTTGCCTTCCATTTACCTAGCAGTTACCAGTAGAAACCTTACCAATACTGTAATGCTTCTCTCCTCTTTTCTGCAACAGATTGTCTCTATAACAAATTCTCAGCCCTGTCCTGCCACAACCTGGCCACTTCTGTCTACAACAGTTCACTGTCATCAACCCTAGACACACTGGCCCCCCTCTCTACACACAGAATCAGGCCCCCGACTGCAACAACCTTGGCAAACAGAAAATACCAGAGCATCTGTGGCATATGTTCCAGCAAGACTTCAACCATTATAAATCTATCCTCCAAAAATACAATTCCTGCCTCCACACTGCCAAAAAGACCTATTTTTATCACTCTCATTAATACCCTCTCACACAGTCCCCATCAACTCTTTTCTACCTTTAACTACGTCCTTCATTACCTCCACCCACTAACTAACTCACTGCCCAGGATATCACTGATCACTTCAAAAATAAGATTGGGACAATTTGTAAGGAGATCTCCCATGTACAGATATTTCCCTCACCTTATATCCCATGTTCACCTGCACAATCAATACTGCCCTTGTTTAACCCTCTAAAACATGCACTAGTCACTCCTTACTTTCAAAGGCCTCACTAGACCGCAACAAAAAAAACCTAAGAGCCATCTCCTTACTCCCTTTTGTCTCCAAACTCCTTGAACATCTAGTCTACAACCTGCTGAGGTTCCACCTCATTAAGAATAATCTTCTTGATACCCTTCATCTTCAATCTGGATTTTGCCCACAATGCTCCACAGAAACTGCTCTCCTAAAATGTACAAAAAACTTACTAACAACTAAAACCAATGATTACTATTGCTGTACTCTTACTTTTGGACCACTCTGCTGCCTTTGATACAGTTGACCACCCCCTCCTCCCCAAAGCACTATTTCCTTTATCTCCATGACTGTACCCTCCATTGGTTCTCATCCTGCCTATCTTACCACACCTTCATTGTCACTTACAACTCTACCTTCTCTTTTCCTATTCCTTTTACCATCAGGGTCCCCCAAGGTTCTGTCCTTATACTTCTTTTTATTCTCAGTCTATACCTCCCTGGTCAGCTTCCCATGGCTTCCAATACCATTTCTATGCGGATGACATCCAAATCTATCTTTCTACCCCTCTGCTCACTCTATCAGTTTTCTCATGAATCACTTATTTACTAACAGAAATTTCAGACTGGATGTCACAACACTTCCTCAAACCCAATCTATCAAAAACTGTGCTCCTAATATTTTCTCCCCCATGTGACACTTCTCCTTACTTCTTTATCAAGATCAATGGCACAACTATCAGTCTGTCCCCACATGCCAGGTTTCTATGGTTAACCCTGGGCTCTGAATTGTCCTTTCAGACCCACATTTAACCCCTTTCCAATTAATGCAGCCTCAACCTCTGCAACATCTCCAGAATACACCCGTTTTTAAGCAACAACACCACAAGCTTCTAATTCACTTCTTGGTTATCTCTTGCCTTGACTACTGCAACTCTCTCTTCATTGGATTATCTTTACAATATCTCACCTTTAGTCCATCATGAATGCAGCTGCCAGACTCATCCACCTTTCCAACCATTCAGTGTCTGCTACCCCTCTCTGCAATCCCTCCACTGGCCACCCACCTAATAAAATTCAAAATACTAACAACTTAAAAAGTCATCCAAACCTCGGCCCTCAGCTACATCACCAACCTGGTCTCAAAATACCAGCCAAACCACTCTCTTTGGTCCTCCAAAGACCTCCTGCCCTCTAGCTCCCTTATCACCTCCTCCCATGCTTGCCTCCAGGACTTCTCCAGAGCTTCTCTCATCCTTTGGAACTCCTTACCCCAATCTGGAAAACAATCTCTTAATATATCCATCTTTAGATGATCCCTGAAAACTCTTTTCTTTAAAGAAGCCTATCCTGCTTCTAAATAATACACTGTGTTTTTACTTTCTCCATGAGCTCCATCCCCTACAGATTTTACCTTTTATATCACTTGACCCTCTTTCTCAGATTGTCAGCTCTAATGAGCAGGTCCCTCTGATTTCTCTTGTACCATGTTGATGCCATATAAATCCTGAATAATAATAATAATAATAACAGAAAACACATGTGCTTACTTAATCATTCCAAGTTTAATGTGAGATTGTTGGTTGTTAGTCTTCTGAAGTCACACTACAAATCATGAGAGTCTCTCTTGCAGCAGCCTAGTATAAACATTATAGGGAGGTTTATTAATTATCTTGCTACACATGCATATAAATGGCAGACAATGGAAAAGGAGTTTCACCCCAAAACATGGAATACCTGAACAAGGACCTTCATGGAGAGAATACCGGGTATTATTTTAATAGAAACTGCAGACTGACAAATATTTGATTTTCAAAGTTACTGTAATATGTTAAGCCTTCAATGATTGAGATTAACTACTGCTCTTTACTTCTTCTCTTCCTTTCAATTCCAACTGAATTCAAATCATCATCATCATCATCAAATACATCAACTGGACAAAGATGTTTTGTAAAATTACAATCTTCTGCCTTTAGTTTATGGATCAGAGCAATGTGTCCAGAATTACCACAATCCACCTCTTAGGATTTCAGATTCCACAAAGTATTACTTTTTTGATGTTTTTTATTTTTCTTATACTTTATTGTGTGACAATATGTGGAAACCTCCTGATCATCACACTGGTGTCCTACAGCAAATCCCTCCATTCCCCCATGTACTTCTTCCTCTCCAATCTGTCTATATTGGATATCTTACTGGCAACTGATATTCTTCCCAACATGATCCATACTGTTTTGGTAAAACAAACTGTTATGTCATTTTCTGATTGCCTCGCCCAGTTTCTGTTCTGTGTTATTGTAGAATCTTCGGAGTGTCTTCTTCTGACAGTGATGAGTTGGGACAGATATTTGGCCATCTGTAGACCATTGCATTATACCTTGAAAATGAACTACCAGGTTTGCTGGATACTGGTTATCCTATGCTGGATTTTAGGTATTTTTTTAGTATTGACTTACACTTTAACAATATCAAATTTACAATTTTGTGGTCCCAATATCATTGATCATTTTTTCTGTGACTTTGATCCAATCATACAACTCTCCTGCTCTGACACCACCATTGTTCGTTTGGAAGTGACAGTTTTGGGTTTTATATTTGTAATTTTCCCATTCTTAACCATCTTCGTATCATATTCTTATATTATAGTTACCATATTGAAAATCCCGTCTATTACTGGCAGACAGAAAGTTTTCTCAACATGCAGTTCCCACCTGACTGTTGTGTCCATTTATTATGGTACCCTAGTTTGTGTTTATTTGGTACCTAATAAGGGACAGACACAAACCCTAAATAAGGTCTTAGCATTACTGTACACTGTTGTCACCCCAATGATGAATCCAATTATATACAGTCTGAGGAACAAAGATCTGAAAATGGCTGTTAGAAAATTCATCATTGACTTTTTATTTATTAGTTTCAGTAAAGATTAAAATGTGTGTGTAATTTGGGGAAATATTTAACAGTAACAGACAAAACTATCAATAAATTAACTAGATACCACGTGAGGGACGTAAGGCATCTACTCATCACTGAATCTCAGTCCTTGCCTGATTGTACAGGATTCAGAAAAAAAAATTAAAACAATGGCAAAACACCAGAAAACACTATCACAAAAAGCCTAATTGCATTTCACATATCAGTGCTTACCTTTAGAGAGAAACCTACTTGCTCCCCATTTCATTATTTAAAAATTCCAGAGATTACTTCAATGACCTTTCAGATGAAAATTATTGGCAAACATATTAAACAATTAGACAAGGTCCAGTATGTAATAGTAAATCAAAATAGATATATCAGTGAGAACACTTTTAAGGTAGACACAGACCCAAATTGGTGAAATTCTTTTCGCTTTCTGTTGAAGGTACATAAAAAAAAAGAACCCCACTCCCATGCACAGGGTGAGGAGAAAATGAAACTTTGATGTGCCACACAGAGAAACCAAATATGTATAAAATCAATATCGTCTTTATTATACCATTAAAACATCAATTACTGGTTCATAACATATACTCTAAAGAAGTGTGTGACTGAAAATGCTACAATATCCTACAGTGATGGCAAAAATTGTAGAAATTTTTTGTGTTTTGGAATTTTTTAGGCTTATAGGGAATGTTATTTTGTACCAAATGCAAACATTTATATGTCAATTTAAAGACAATTCATTTACTTTAGTTTTATTGAGTTTTAAAAGGCATACAACAAACAAAAGTTGCATAGAGCTGTGAGGTAATAGTAGAAGAGAGAAAACAGGTTAATCGATGAAAATGCAGATACATACAATGTCAGTGCATAACAGTGGATTAGCTAGCAATATCAGACATATAGTAGTAGACATATAGAAAATGAAAAGATCCCATGATTCCCACACTGCTTCAAAAAAGGGGGACAAGATTAGCATGCAGAGCAGTGAGATACTCCATTCTTCTAATCTCAGCAACAACCTTAACCAATTTCAACCATGTAGGAGGCGTAGTAGAAAGCAAATGCAGGGTAATGGTTCTCCTGGCCGCTGTTAGGACATGAAAAGATAGTTTCTTGGCAAATTTAGAGAGGCCTGTAAAAGGTAGGCCAAGTAAAAAGTAGATGGGGTCAAATGGGATGTGGACCTGTAAAAGTAGCAGCAAAAGACTAAGGACCTCTCTCCAGAAAGGTGCAATGTGTTGGCAAAGCCAAAAAATGTGGAAAAGAGTGCCAATTTCCTTGCCACATTGCCAACAGAAAGGAGAAACACTTGGATTGCGAGCATAGAGAACCTCAGGAGTCTTGTACCAAAACATCAGAATTTTATAAGTATTTAAGTATTTTCTTTATATACAGTACTACACATATACAGGATCTGGAAGCAGCCTCCCAAATCCTGCCCCATTGATGCAAGGAAATGTCACATTGAAGGATTCGGGGCCATTTACACATATAAAAGTGGGCATCTATCGGAAGGGGGCAGGAGTCTAGAAGCAGCTGATACATAGAGGAAATTATTCCGGCAGCATAGGAGATGTAGTAGAAATCCAATGCATGGGAATGGTTCTCCTGGCCACCATTAAAACATAGGAGAAAAGTTTCCTTGCAAATTTGGAAAGGCCTGGAAAGGGTACGCCCAAAAAAAAAGTGGATGAGCTCAAATGAAATAGGAGCCTGCAAAAGTTTCTGTAGAAGGTTAAGGACCTCTTTCCAAAAGGGTACAATTTACTGGCAAGTCCAAAAAATGTGGAAGAAAGTGCCAATTTCCTTGCCACAGAGCCAACAGACAGGAGACATTCGGATTACTAGCATGGAGAACCTCAGGAGTCCTATACAAAAACATCAGAATTTTATAAATATTTTCTTTATATACCACACATATAGAAGATCTAGAGGCGGCCTCCCCAGATCCTGCTCTATTGATCTAAGGACATATCTTGTTGGATAATTTGGGGCCATTTTCGCATGTAAAGATGTGTTTCAGTAGTAAGGGGGCAAGTGTCGTGCAGCAATTTATAGATAGTGGAGCCCCATAGGTATAGATACTGAATGCAGATGCGTTCGAAAAGAGTAGGCTTCTCTAGGGTCAGGGAGGGAATCTTGGAGAAGAAGAAGTGCTGTGTCTGTAGATAAACATGATACTGAGGAGAAGGCATGCGTGAAGTTTTTTGTAACGCGATAGAGGGTCGAAGTTTTCGGATCACTTGGTGGACCAGGTGTCGCAGTTGGAATAAGTTGGCTTTAGCCCAGAGACTTATAAGGGCTGGGGTCAAACTATCAGGACTAAGGATGACATTGGTCAGAGGTGAACAAGAAGAGGACATGGCAAATCTACCCCTACACCTCTTCCATATAGACAGAGTAAAAAGCATGGGCCCAAGCAGTAGATGCCTATAGGAGGAGATTTCAGTGTTGGTCAAAGACCAGCATAGAGAACAAGGGTGCAATGGACATAATTGCAGCCATTCAATCTCGGACCATTTGTTAGGGGGATGCTGAAAAGACCAGGAGGTGAGAGTATGGAAGTGAGTAGCCAAGTAATATGACACAAGATCTGGAGCCCCCAGAGCTCCCCTAGGTTGTGGTGAGAGAAGAACTGAGTGGGCAATGTGGTGAGATTGGTTATGCCAGATAAAGTGGAGAAGAGATTTCTGGAGGGAATGGAGCTTAGAGATAGGGACAGGAACAGGGAGGATCTCAAACAAATACAAAAGCTTGGGTAGCATAATCATTTTCAAGACATTAATCCTTTCGAGAAAGGAGATGGCAAGATTGTCCCAAGATTGTAAGGATTGAGAAATAGCATGAAAAAAGAGAGGGAAAATTAGCTTCATAAAGGGAATTGAGGTAATATTGGTACCTAAGTACCTCAAAGAGGGGGGCACCAGCGGTAGGGATAATTTGACTGAAGAGAAGATAGAACGGCAGGGGGTGTGTGGAGCGGTAAAGCTTCAGTTTTAGACGTGTTAACCTTATAACCTGACAAGGCCCCCAAGGGTTGGAGAGTACGATGCAGAACAGAGCAGTGTGGGGTTCTGTCAGTGTCTATTTTTAAGAGCTTGGTAGCCCATTTGTATCTTGATAGCTGTTTGTACAAGTCAGAGGTAGTGAAACCAATCCACAGAACCCAGATACTATAGCACCTGTTGTAATTATCATAACTCTGGTATCTATATTCCTCTGCATGCTGTATTCCATCTACCTTCAGCAGCCATTCTTTTATTGTAAATGCTATCGTGGACTTCCAATAAAGGGTATAATGCTCTTACCCACATTCAGAAGATGGGGTACCAAGGAGCGTTTGTATGAGCCCACAGACAGACAGACAGACAGATGAATATCATGAAAAAGGTTTGGGAAGGGTATATCTTGTAATGGATACCCAGTAACCCTAACTATCAGGTTCCAAACTTTCACTCAAAATGGCCTAATAAGGGACATGCCCACCACAAATGCAAGAATGTACCTTTCTGTACACACCATCTCCAACAGATTACCGATATCCCTGTATACACAGTATATGAGACAGGTTAAGTGATACCTGATACCATCGTGACAGAAGTTTATAGCAGAACTCTTGAGTCTTGAAGCTACCAGTTAACTAAGAGCATCAACACTTTTGCCTGATAATATAGGAAAAGGTCTGGAAGACCTAAGCCACCATGAGTTTTGGCCTGTAGCATTAAGTCATAAGACAAATGTGGAGGTTCCCCACTCCACACAAAGGAGGCAAATTCACATCTAGCCTAAAGAAAATGTGCCTTTGAATTTTTTTGGGTTGCACTTGAAAAAAAAAAAAAAAAAAAATTAGGAAGGACCGTTATTTTTAAAATGTTGATCCTCCCAAGTCAAGTGAATTGGGCTTTTCCCACCAAGTTATCAGATCCGATTTTACTATATTCAGCAGGGAGGGGAAGTTAGCCTTAAACAAGTCATTTGTATTGATGTATAGACAAAATGCAGGAATTAAAAGAACATTAGAAATAATGATGAAACACAGTCCAATAAAGGTGCTCCTTGATTCCCAGTGCAAATGGTAGAAATACACACTAACCAGAAAGCGTATAAGTAATACGCATATGAGCATATATCCTGAAGGTCCCCCTCTCCTTTCTGGTCTGGTCAAGGAAGTAGCTGGGAAAGATGGAGATCCTATGCCCTCATGTGGTGAAAGAATGGTCCAGCAGGTCAGAGAAGAATCAATCAAGATAAGCCTCCCCCTTCTCAGGAACTGACACAGGGATCACTTAGGGCTGTAAGGGTTGAAAAGCTCCTCACAGGAGACATAGGGAAGCACTCATAGTGTAGTAGGTAAAGATTTTATTGTAAAACACTAGTGCATAGTAAAACATAGCAGTGCCAAGTATGAACGAACACACTGACCCCTTGGAAATAAAGATGGCCACCGGGCCTCTACGTGGCACCGGCGGCTTAGTGTCAACGGTGTCCTGGGCCCCATCTGACGCGTTTCGTGCGCACACACTTCTTCAAAGGTAGAGCACAAGTCATTTGTATTGGCTGCTAGTTTGATGATCAAGTAAGTAAGTCATCTTGCCACTTAAAAGGGAACAAGTCCTCCGTAATCTTCCTGTCTGCTTGGGAAACATTGAAAGGCATGATTACAGATTTGGCTAAGTTCATCTTAAAATTGGAAAGGTCTTTAAATAATTGCGGACAAGACATGGAAGCCTGTGAACTGTGGCCAAATATATCAGACAAATCAACCTTTGGAAATTGTCTCTTCCCTCTCTACCTGGCATAAAAAAAACACTTGGACCTTGAGAACTATCTCACCAATAAAAACTTTAAGCAGATTCACTAAGATCATAACCATTATCTTTATATCTATGTTTAGCAAGGAGATAGGGAATTAATTTTGGCCCAGTGATGGGTCTTTCACTAACTTTGGGAGAACCGTAATGTGCTACTATAACACTTCCACCTGGATACTACCAGTCTTGGTCAAAGT